GCTAAATAAGAAGGAGAACCCAAAGAAAATCCTGAATATTTCTCCTGAATATTAAACTTCATCAGGCGATGAAAGGAGACAGAGACAGAGAACCACATTGGAGCACCGGACTGAAATCTCAAGGTCCAAATCAGGAGCAGAAGGAGAGAGAGCACAAGCAAGGAACTTAGGACCGGGAGGGGTGCACCCATACACTGAGACAATGGGGATTGGGGACACTGGTAGTTTCTGTAAACTGATGTTTCAAGGGATGCCCCATGAATGAAGATGTTGAAAGAGGGATTGGAAGGCCTGCATAAATTTTTGTCAAAATGAATGTTTTGTTGTTTGTTCATTCTAGTTTTGGGTTCCTTCCTGATTGTTTATTTTTTGCTGTGATGTCATAGCCATATACAGGAATAATGAAGGTTTCTTTCTCGTCCATCTCTAGACAGTGGAAGACTTCATAAAGGACTAGGAACACTTTAGGATAAAAAGGAAACAAAGAAGAAAACAGCACCAGGCAGGCACTTCCTGAAGGTGACCATTCTCTTTTCTTCCTTGTTTCCATTGTTTCAACAACTTGAGCGCCTCCTGATCACTTTATATCAGCGACCTGCTGGGCTAAGGGTGTGCCCATTGCCTTCTCCCGTTACAATGGCATCTCTGAGCAAACATCCAGGAAGGGGAAGCTACTGCCCAGACAGAGGCGAGCATCCCTCCTCAGACTGGGTGCTTCAGACTTCTCTAGACCTTCTTCTCTAGAGAAATAGCATAATTAAATTAAGTACTGAATATCGCAAATGGCCTTTATTTTTATGTTTTGCCTCAATATAAGAATTGTTTCAGCAAGGATTTGAAGTGACTAACACAGAGCCTTGCTCACAGCATACCCTCTAGAGACATTTGTTAGTTTATGTTTGATGCAACGAAGGCCTCAAAGACGAGAAAACTGTATACAAAGCTATCAATTTTTGTACACAAGGTCTGTTGTTTGCCTATTCACACAACTCTTGTTAAATAACCGTATTTTAAGTTCACTTTAAGGGTGGAGAAATTG